AGATTCCCCCTCTGTCAGCTTCCATGGCTGTCGGGGCTCCCCCACCCCCCCACGCACACACTCTTGGGCTCCCCAAGCTTCTTTCACATTTCCTTTGGGTCTCCTAAAGCAGCTGAAAGCGCAGCCCAAGCCTGGGCTCAAGTCCTGGGAGTTATATCAACTCCGTGCCTCATTTTCCTCTTCTTCGTTTCCTGGCGTCTTTGTAAGAATTAAAATAAGGTAATTTATTGAAAGAGTTTTGTGTAGGGCTCGGCAAATAGTAGGGGCTTGCTAAGCGTTAGCAAAACTGTGACTGGAATGACTGGGTCTCCACTTCTGCATCTGTAAAATAAGATGCTTAAAGTATATTCGGTTTAATTCAGCCCCTGTTTGCTGAGGACAAGTTATGGTGGAGTTTACAGGACAGTGCACGACGGAGGTCACAGATTAGTCAGGAAGATACCAACAGAGAAGCCAATAGCCAGTCACGGTGCCTGGCGGCAGTTGGGGCTGTGCCGCTTGCTGACTTGCCTGGCATCAAGTGGCAAATGATGATGAACCAGTTTTCTTGTCTGCAAATGAGACTAACAAAATTCAGCTCACAGAGGAACGAGAAGCGTTGCATGAATGAAGTGTGCAAGAAGATTAGTGCAACGCCTGATACATCATACATGATCAAGGCGTGTTTATCATTAGCAGAACCATTGTGAGGCCCTCACACATCCCAGCATCTCTTATTTTTAAAAGATCTCATCCCAGATTTTATCAAGAATCGTGAGCTTGGGCCTCCCCGGTGGCGCAGCAGTTGAGCGCTGGGCTGCAAAGCTGCCCGCAGCCTCTGCAGCGCTGGTTTGAACCCTGGCCACCGGCGAGGGTCCCACATGGCGCGCAGACCTCTCCTGCCGCCCACTGCTCCCCTCAGCAGTGTACTTCGGTCCTTCTGCCTGTTCTGCTCCCCGCTCTGGCTCTGGTGAATTCTCTCACCCTCCTGCGCTTCTGACTGTACCCAGTGCTTGTACAAATAAATAAATAAATCTTTAAAAAAAAAAATCATGAGCTTACCTGTAGCCATATGGAAGATACTTTTGCTATAAACTGTTTTAAAGTAATGTGTGTAACAATCACTGAAGTTAATCTAATAGTAAAATGTTTATCCTATTGTTATGATGGTAATTAATGTTCTCCTACAGTGAAGGAAGAGATAACTCGAGCTTGGCTAATTGTTACAATATTACATTGTGTTATTTTCAACATTGGTTATTTTTTGATTGTTGGATCGATAATTTTGCTTAGGCCTTACATCTTTATGTAATCTCTTGAAAATGATGGAGTTATATGCTCAGTGGATAAAATGCCTGTTCATTGAATGATAAGGAAAAATATGGCGAATACTATGACGCAGTTTTGAAGAAGCAAAAAATACGAAGGTAGAAATAAATCTAACTTCAGAGGATCAACAAGGGGTTCAGGTAGATCTGAGCAATGATAAATAGGTAGGTGGCGATTAGTGGAAGATACATGATTTTATAAGACTAAAGCACTGGCCTCCAAATAGATGTCTGAATAATTCAATCCCACTCAGAGGTGGGAGGAAGAAAAAAATGGTATAATTCATTGACTTTTCCTTCTAATTTGTAATTATCATCTGTTTAGAATGTACCTGCTATATCAGTATAGATTTCTGTGTGTGATGCCTTTGTAAATTACAAATGAAATAAAATACAGACTGAGAATGCAATATAAGGTTGGAGACCTGCAGAGCCAGTTTCTTAAAATGTTAAACGTAAACATAAACCAGATGCTTCAGTCATCACTATCTTAGTATTTACGCAAAAAGGTAAACCGTAGTTACTCTCTCACCCCTGGTCCTCGGCTCAAATGTTACTGCCCAGAACAGACTTAGCAAATGCCCTAAATAGCAGAGGTTTGTGTAGGAAGAATATCCTTTGATGCTCTACTTTTTCCTTCTTAAAATTTGTCACAAATTATATTTTAAATAGTTTATATAATTTATGACAGTTTTGCAAAAGTAGAAAAGAGATTTAGTAACTTTGCTTATGATCACACACATTCTGATTAATGGCAGTGACTGGAACTTGGTCCTCTCTGACTTCAAAGCATGTAGCGTGAGTGACTGATGATTCTGTAATGTGATAGTCACCATGGTATGATGCCAGGAATAAATCTCATGTGGAAGTCAGAGCATGATCTCTAATCATGGCAGGAGGAGGAAAGTTGGTACTCCCAGGCAAGGCGTCTGCTTGAAAAGGTCTGAGCTGGTTATGTGGTGTCTCGCAGATAAACCGAACATGAAAACGGGAAGTGGAGGAAATGGCCCTGAAGTTTGTAACTCAGGCTGGGTACCAAGAATTTAGCGATGGGGCCTCCCTGGTGGCACAAGGGTTAAGTCTCAGTGCTGTCAAGCTATCCGCAGCCGCTGCAACACGAGTTCGATCTCCATCCAGGGACATGACCCACAGGATGCAGCAGACCTCTCCTGTCTCCCCGCTGCTCCCCTCAGCAGTGGATTTCAGTGGATCCGCCTGTTCTGCTCCCCACTCTGTCTCTGGGGATTCCTCTCAACCCCTGCACCTCTGGCCTGCACCCCAGTTCTTGTATGCATAAATAAATAAAAATAAATCTTAAAAAAAAAGAATTTAGTGATAAATCTTCCAAGATAGAGCTAAGCACAGTGTTACTATAGGCAAACTGGGGTACCGGGCAGATTCACAGGGTTGCAGTCCAGTAGTTAGGTCCAAGGTGAGAACTAAGACTTCTCCAGGTCTAGGCGGAGACCCCTAGAAAAGTTGAGGAGCCAGAATAAAGTAGGCATGACTTGGTGCTGACGGCTAGATACTAGTTGATGATTGTAAACTCTCTCCCTAAACCCAACGCAGCTTAACCTCACCATTCACGAAAGTCGTAGCATAATTAACCCCAAAATTTGAGAGTTCACGTGGTAATGGTAAAAGAAAAATAAAGAAACTGGAAACTGCAAGGAAAAATTAATCATTATTCAGTTATTCAAGTAATTATGTGTGCAATAACCAAGCATTATAATGTGTGTCATTCATGATCTAACCTGTTTTTCTTTACTAAATTAAAAAAAAAAGACTCACTTGATCAGGATTTTCAATTTGAATCTGTAGACAGGCTTTTGGTCAAACGACTCCACCACTCAACAGATAAAAACACCACAGTATTCACAGTTCTTCACCCCCAGTGGACTGGTGGCCGAAAGCAAGAGGGCTTTTATAAACTATATTAAAAAGGGGATATAAAATGTGGGTCCCCGTCGGCAAGAACAGACCTATCTTAAAACATGAGCAAAATTACTATCAGTGTCTAAGAGCTATTTATTCTTTTGAAACAAATTTCTTACCTGCTAGATTTGCCAGTCAGTAAAATACAAATATTTTCAAGGTATTAATGATCTACCGAGTGTGTGGAATTGAACTAAATTTCACTAAGGTTTGTAATCCTCATAAGAGAATGCCTGTTTGTTTATAACAAGGATAATTATTTCCTTTCAAATGTGTCTTTTTGCAGTGGGTGTGTCTTTGGGATTGAAATGGAACAGATAGTCCGATTCTGTAGAACATGCACACTTCTAAATAACGAGCAAAATTTTTCATTGACCATCTCGCATGGATTTTATATCTTCTGAGGGCTCTATGTTCTCCAAACATCTTAAGTCAGTGTCTCTTCCTGACATGCATTACAAAATCAAATTATCTATCCCAGTTTGGCTTGTTTCTAAATTCGCCCCCCTCCTTACTCACTGTAAATCAAATTTGATCCATATTGAAAACTCAATGATGTTTTCAAACTGGCATCTTTATTGATGGTGATATGTACATACAGATTCATACGCGGTGCTCAGCCGCACAGCAGCTAATCCAATTGTCACCTGGTCCAGGCCTCTCAATAACCATCAGTCCTGGGCAGCTGGCACAATTGGATCTGCATTCTCAAATCACATGAAGCCTATTGACTAAACAGATTTAACTCTTGTATCTTCAGTGGTTCAATGTATTGCCATGGGATAAAGGTTTATTTTCAGGACTGGGAGAATCCACTGTAAGATTTTAAGTTCGTGGGGCGACTGCTCCGTCTCACTCCCTCATCCCTAAAAACAGTCAGTCCAAACTCAAGGGGCGGCCACATCACCCCAAGACAGCTGCTCTGTGTGATTCAGGCTGCGCTGGTCAAATAGCAGGTTATATTTCAGAAGCACAGAAGAGAAAAAAGGACCAAAGTATTAATTAAATGTGAAACCCATATACTTCTGGAAAGATGAATACACAGAGAATGTGGTATAATCCCAAATGTCAACCTCATTTGCACTGAACTTCTAAAATTTCTTAATAATGCTTTAATTTTTCTCCTTCATAGAAGACTCAAGGTGCACTTTTTTAAAAGGTCTCGAAAAAGCTCACGTGCAAACTCAGCTACCACAGGCACATGCTGAACAAGTGCAGTGAGAACAGCCCCGCTTCGGGCACCCGGCCTCATTTCTGTACCTTCTGTACTGCGCCCTGGGAAGGAACCCCCATAAATCATCTCATGGCTGTGCACAATTCATCTCGTGCTGCCTCCGTGTCCTCCTCTGCGTGTGTGCTGTTGCTTTTTATATTTGATTGTTGAGGTCACTCTTGGATTGTGGTGCAATACCCAAGCTTTATATTCAAATCTCTCTCGGCAACAGTAGAGTCTAAGTTTTAGTAACCAAATTCAGGGTCACCTTCCACCACAAGTTCGAAAAATAACTGTCAAAAAAGTGTCAAAAGAAAAACAACCTGTAACTCCCTAGCCCTTTTTACACAGAAGAAGATATTAAGTGGGTGTATCGGATAATTTCTTGAAGGGTAAAACATTCCTGCTACCAATGCATATGTTCACAGTGATCCTTCGTCTTATGTATTATTACCTCGGAACTGGTTTCAGAGTTCATGGGTTTGTTACCACTTACTGACTTGCTGTAAAACAGGAAAAAAAAACAACTTTTTAATAATTTTCAGAATAGCTATTCTTCCAGACGGGAGTCTACGGATCCTAAATGCTTCTAAATCAGATGAGGGGAAGTATGTTTGCCAAGGGGAAAATGTCTTTGGTTCTGCAGAAATCATAGCTTCAGTGTCTGTAAAAGGTAAGAAAATGCGGCTAAACGTCGTGTGAGCGTAGTTTCGTGGTCTCATCAGAAAGCGAGTAACTGCCATGTGCATCTATGTGTGTTTGCACGCGTGTGTGCATGCTCCTGCTGGTGACAGCTTTGCAGACAGAGAGCTAACACGGCCCAGCCGACTCTTGCCATTGCTCAGGGGCAAGAAAGAAAGCTCCCCTGGCTGGTAGACATTTAAATATTACATTTGGAACAAAATATGTGAGGAAAAAGGAAACTTTCTCAAGTTTTAGCTGGTGTCTCAAAATTTAAAAGTATGTCCACAGTATTAAGATTTTTTTTTTCCATTGGGCCTCCCTGGTGGGGCAGGGGTTAAAGTCTCAGCACTATGAAGCTATCACCAGCCACTGAGACATTAGTTTGATCCCCAGGCAGGGAGCTGACCCACATGGCGTGGCAGACCTCTCCTGTCCTGTCCGCTGCTCCCCTCAGCAGTGCATTTCAGTTGATCTGCCTGCTCTGCTCCCCACTCTGTCTCTGGTGAATCCTCTCACCCCCTGCTCCTCTGGCCTGCAACCCAGTTTTTGTATGCAAAATAAATAAATATTTGGAAAAAAAGATTGTTTTTCCCTTTACCAAGATTAATTTTAGCATTTAGTCAGTAATACTTCTTTGCTATCACCTCAGCTAGGGTTGGGCAGGAAGCAGTCACGAAGGGGGACATGAATGAGGCAGGCTGGAGTGTGCATCGGACAGGCGGAGGCCAGAGCTGCCCTTGGTGTTTTCATCAGTGGGTGCTTTATATGCTTTAGTATGAGAATTATCACTGCTTAAATGTTACTGGTAGTTTTCTAGTTCCAAAGTGAACTAGATTTCAAGCCTAGAGCCTTCTTTGGAGATTACATGTCATTGGCTCTTACGAAGAAAATCTCATATGTTCAGTGCCAAAATCTCTTCAGTTGGTAAAGGATTATTTTTTTTGCCATGGAGTTATATCCTTAATGATTTGCTTTCCATTTGTGCATGCATTACAGAGTGAATCAAACCTTAGCCATAAAAATATAGAAATGTTCGTTTTCCTTTTCTTTAGAAGTAGAAATGTAACTAAATAATCAGCACTCTGATACCTCTAGAAAAGAAACAAACTTCAGTGGGAGGAACGTAATTTGAAAGACGTCTTCATTTAATAGCATAGATAGCTGAGCTCCAACTCAGTCCTCTAGACTGTGTCTGATCCCTTCTGTGGCTAAATTTTCTATGAAAAACTGAGGAAGGATGTAATGCACAGGCATTTTTTTCAAACACCAACAAAGATGGTGTCTGTCCGTGATGAGTTCAGTGGAATATTTAGTTACTCAGCATTGCAATCGGACCAACTGTCACCACTTGTCTGCACTGAGGACACTGGAACTCGGGGGGGCCACCGAAAGGCTGACTCTAAATTGTTGCTACTTGCAGTGACGTTCCTTTCCTGGCGTTGCCCCTCCTCTCAGGGGGTGCTAAGAAGGAAGGTGCATATTTAAGGGTCTTAACGGGGTTAAGAATGTGCTTCATCAGACTGTTATTACCAACAGCAGAGCTAGAATAAGAACATTAAGCTAATTTTTAATCATTTCTGTTAGTCTTACTGAGGTATCTACGATCAGGAATCTCATTAGGAAAAAAAGATTAACTCAACATGCTATCTCCATCTCCTCCCTACTTGATTCAAAAACACATCGTATTACAGTTGCTTGATTATTGCTCAAATGACCCTTAAATGTGCCACTGGCATTAGCCTTTGTTAGTTCAGAGTTGTCTAAATCCAGTAAAAATGTATAATTTTTTACTTAACTGAATCACTGTCATTAAACATTAACATTTTTTTCAAAAAAAAAAATCCATGCAATATTTTTCTTTTCTCCTTAGATCTCAATTACATCATCCACAATTTATCAAAAGTGCTATTTTATAATTAGCCAGAAGGAGCCTCTTCTACTCCTTTCTACTCATGAGAGGTTCTGTAGAGTATGAAGCAGATACCAGGTTTCATTTTTTGTCTCTATTAAGATGGTAATTTGAGGCAGGTGCCTCCCAAGAGCCCTAAAGAAGTAAACTCACCTGAATGCTTCCTCCTTAGATATGAAGCATATTTTAATTGTAGAAAAAGATCCTTTTATTTATATGTGATGCTTCTTGAAGGTAGACAGGGAGGCTACGACCTCTTCTTTATAACTTTCCCTCTCCAGAATGTCAAATGTTTTCCCAGTTGTACAGGACCTCATCTTTTTAGACCACGTTAACGCCTTAGTAGGAACAGCAACTTTTAAATCATTGGTCCCCACAAAAAAAGAAAGAAAAAAAAAAAATAGTGACATGCCCAGCATCCAAAGAGTTAATATTTCATAGTTTATCTCAACATGTGGAAAATCTAATCCATGTATCTGAAACAATTGTACTGCATGGATTCCTTATTTAATTTCTTCTTTGATTATTTAAGATAATGCAGACTGAAAGGAAATACTTGGTGCTGGTTGTTAATTAACATATTTTAATTTCTACAGAACCTACGAGGATAGAACTTACTCCTAAAAGAACAGAGTTAACAGTAGGAGAAAGTATCGTCCTAAATTGCAAAGCCATTCACGATGCTAGTCTGGATGTCACTTTCTACTGGACACTGAAAGGCCAACCTATCGATTTTGAGAAAGAAGGTGGACATTTTGAAAGCATCAGGGCCGTAAGTTAATACACTTTTACTTTTTAAGTAATAATATAGAATTTATATTCAAGTATAAAAATGTTCTTACCTATAAAATGATAAGAAAAATAGGGAAAATTTTAATTCAAAAAATCACTTTCCCCCATTATTTTATATTATGTCAATGATAGCAATTATGTTTAAAACCCCAGTGAGAAATTGGACAAATCTGATTGCTTTGCAGCTTTTATTTGCTTAATTTTATCAATATTTGCACTTTACATGTCGTTATGTTGCTACATAAAGTGCATATTGTTTTACTTCAAGCATTCTTAACAGTAATTATAATACAATAAATAAATAAGCTGATTTGTCCAACTCAGGAAATACTAATAGTGGGAAATTCTTTAATTATAGTTTTAATTATAGTTTCTCAAAAATCTCTAAAGCTTAGACATGCAGCCGTGGTTAGAAATACATATCAGCCTTCGATCAACTCCATAGACCTACCCGTTTCATGCCCACCAGATGTTTTCTTTTCAGCATATTCTTTTATGTACATATCTGTATGGGAAATCAGCTGAATGGAGCAGGAAAGCTTTTGAATCAAATCCTATAAATCATCATATTGTCTTAATCAAGAAGTGAAAAAAAAAAAAAACCTTCTCCACTTATTTAAACTGAAAGGTGAAAAGTGTACTGGAATCAAGAGAGGAAAATATGGGTGGAATAAAGGTGGCAGAGAAAAAGGAACAATTGCACTTCATGGATTGGCTGGACGATCCCTCCAGATTGGCTAATGAGACAGATCCAAAATCAATTTATGGCTGCAAATCCAATTTAAGATGCTGCCACACAAGTATCGATATCAGTTTATCCTTTTAAACACGGGAACACCCCAGCTGTAATGAGCCCAACATAATACTCACTTGGGGCCGAATTTCATCTTAAAGGTCATGTGACACAGTGAAAAATGGTCTAGATCCAAAGTCAGAAATGTCCCTGATCAGGTCCCCGCTCAGACCCTAACCAGCTGTGCAACCTAAGGCCAGTCAGCTTGATTTGCTAGGGCGCTAATCTCACAGAGAAGTCAACTGAAAGAGTTAAGATAATTTCTAAGATTCCTTCTCACTTTATTATCAAGTTTATATTACTAGAATAGTAAAAATGAGTTTTCTATATTGCTCTTGCCAATGTAGGCAAAACTTTAATTTCCTCCAAATCATTCCTTTTATCCTGGTTTTCTTTGCAATTAATGGGAGAGACTATATACATATGAAATCATTACCAACTGCCTTATTCTCATCTCATTAAATAAATTTATTTTTCATTATTAATGGTTATGTTATATGCAAAATATTTAGATCACATTAAACTCATTTTCCTCTAATTTGTGACTTTCCTGTTTCCTTTACCTTGACTTGATAATTCCTTCAACACTGTGAGCCAATTTTATGCCAGGAATGTCATAAAACACAATTAAATAAACATGATGCACAAGTATCACATTTGAATACAAACAATATATCCAAAATTATCTTCTTAGGATTAGCTATAAACATTCATTTTGAGTGATCAGCTATGTAAGGTAAAAAAGTGTCTAAAATTAATGTTGGTTTTTCTTCGTATAAGAAAGCCCCTCTTTGTTTTTAATGTACCAATAGAGAAATTAATGGCCCTGGTAAAATTATATGAATTCTTGTTTTTATCTTTTAGACATTGCCACGTTAGGTTGATTTCAATCATTTCTATCAATAAAGACCTATAATCCTTTTCGTAAGCTTGGCAGTTAATGATACCTGCTGTCTCCCTCTTTGCATATAAGCTGCTTTTGCCCTTGAGAAGTACAGCATTGACCCCTTTCTCCATGCAAACCCCTATTTTTCAAGTCATGTAAAATTGGGCTGTGGATTGTAGATGCTGCTAAAAAAACCAGACATAGAAGAATAAAGCCAGTTATTATACTGAGAAGAGAGAAAAATACTTAGCTCTAAGGTAATGTAGGACTTACCAATTTCAGTATGTTAAGAATAATTCACAGAAATGCATCTGACTTTAAAATATTTGGAAGCTTCAAAGCTACAAAGTGTAAAAGAAATTATCTTTTCACCTCTCTCTCAATTACCTCCAACACTGAGCGTGTCCTGGCGGACCTGAAGACATACAGTGATGAGAATCCTTCATGACGGTGAAAAGGTGGAGGGGAGAAAACATTCTGTTCCCTTCTCTTGTGAAATAGTGTATCTGAGAAAGATGTTTTAGGAATAAATAAATTGTGTGAAGAAGGGAGACTTAGGAGAGCTTCGCTGCTTGTGTGAATGCTTTTTGTTTAAGAGGCCGTGGAAGACCCTGGGAATAGGAGAGGCCGGCCGGGACTCAGAGGGGAGCCTGTGGTGGTCACTTGTGGCCTGCTCTGGGTTTTAAAGCATAGACATGGGAGGCACTATAAGGGTCTAGGCAGGTCCAGCAGAGTAAGAAACCAAACAGGACTCAGGGACTTAACACAGAATGTGTCTGGGACTGTGTCACGCAGAGGCTGACTGTCCTGGGACCTAACTCACCAGTGGGTGGTTAACAAGGGGGAGTCAGCAGAAGGAGAGCTTGCGCCCCCCCCCCCCACATGGACACTGCCTTCTGCCAAGCAAGCCACCCAGATCCCTGGGGAAAAAGAAAAGTCACCAATGGTGTTAACATTTAGCATCTTGTAGATTTCAAAATGCACTTAAAGAAGTTCCCTCCTTTTCAACTAACTTTACAGGTAACTTTTACACACCACCACTGGTTTATAAATAAAGCTCTAGAAAGCTTTATGTGAAGCTTTTAAAGCATCTATAGACAATGTACATGGTTATATTTTAAATGAAGGAGTGCTTTTGGACTACGTTCAGGGCAGTAAATAGATAAACATATAACCATATCAGGTTAAAAATAACAATAGCTGTGGCTTTGAAATTTACATTAGAACATCAGTAACGATAAAGCTTCTATTTCTCTTGCCCTCTAGACTGAGGCCATGTTTTCCAAACCCATCAATTTGACCAATTTGGATTAAAAACCATTGTTAAAGGGGTCTAAGCAATCCATTAGCCCATAAACATTTGATCCAGTTCATCCATTTTTTTTTAAGCAAGGATATGAATTAACTGAATGTGCCAAATTGATGTGGCTTTTCTTCAGATATAGTTCAACTCAATTTTATAAGCCAACCGCTACAAGAGCTCCAAATTAGAACACCCCCTTCACCCTTAAGGGGGAGCAGTTTACGGAGGGCTGGTGGTCTGCCCCCGAGAACTCTGCGAAAGGATTGGTGGGGGGGGGCTTGGTACTGGAGCTTGAGCTGGGTGGTAGGACCCCAGGTGCTAGGAGCAGAAGCTGCTTTCAGACAGAGCGAACAGGTCAAGCAAAGACAGAAAGGCAGAGAGATTAAAGGAGGTTTCAGGAACAGGGAGGAGGTGCTGGCACTGACAGCACAGTGAAGGCACATAGCAGACAATAAATCAATATTTGTTGAATAAATGTAAAGGAAAACAGCAGAGGCTTCATTGTAAAAGGCACTGATTTCCAAGCCGTGGAATTTGGGCTGATTTCTGATACATCAGGGAGTCGTGTGATTCAGTTTTGCTTTTTAGGAAGATAACTCTGACAGCTGTATAGAACAGGGATTGAATAGCTTGTGGACTTTATATTCACTCTACGCTGATTAAACAGAGGTTACAATGAGGAATCAACCATTATACACTTTGGCTTTAAACAACCATCTGTGATGAAATAAAGCAGTTACAATTGTGTTTTTCCACAACTGCTTGTGTTGGTCAGAGGTCTGCAGGAACCTCTTCAGCCTCTCAGGATGTGTGACCAGCACCTGAGCGGGACCACGTGGCCCCGAGCCACAGTCCTGATGAATGACTGTGATGATCCCTTGTTTTCCAGACTTGAAACCCCAAATTTGTCACTTCAAGATGTGACCACATATTCATCCTTATAATATATCAAGAGCAGCTATACTGATGGCATGGAAGCCTGCAATTTGCTTTGTTTTTTGGCAGAGGAAAAAGAAAAAAATCAAACATTTGTCATCAAGATGGTCAACTGAAAAATTGTCTTTTCCACTGTGAACTCACCAAACTTGCTGAAATTCACCTAAATGGGCAGCCCCGTCCGGGCGCTGCGTGGCTGTGCTGTTGGTAGTCACCCTTCCTGCTTCCCTGATTCTCTGGCTTAAAAATGTCCTCAGCAAGGCAGTGTAGGGATATTTGACCCCAGTTTTTTTATGAGGAAACTGAAGCAGAAGACTTTTCCAGGTCACATGATACTAAATCTGAGGACACAGTGAAAGGCGGTGTGAGATTGAAGCTGCCCTATGTCGTTTCTCCCGCTTGGTATTTATTGATCACCTATTATGTGTTCAGCCATTGCCAATCCACTTGGGGGCATCAAAATATAAGGGGATGTAGTGCAGTCTTTAGTAAACATAAGGAAGGCGTACAACACTAAGTAATCCAAGAAAATAGGACCATAAAAAAGTGCTATTTTTTATTATAGTCAAATATTATTAGAGAGCAGAAAAAGATTAATGTAATGGTTAATCATTATGAAGGAAAGCAAGATAAGGACTACAGAGGTATAAATATATATCTATATATTTAGCTGAGTGCTTAGCATATAGCAGGTGCTCAATCCATATATATGTGATAGCTTATCAATTCCTCATAACTGTCATATGAAGTAATATTATTTGGAAAGAAAGGAAGAAAAGAAAAGGGTAGCTTGAGATGGGGCAAGATACTGTATCTTTGCGTTATGAGGGATCTTGGCAATTACCGTGTTTGGTCTAGGTTGATGTATGGATTCTCCTCCCAGAGCATTAGTATCTGCTTTCAGTGATGAGGAACTCACACTCTGAGGTGTCCATCCCATGATCAACTGTATCTGAACGTCAGGAAGCTGGAAAGCAGGAGTCATTATGATAACTCATGGCAAACATAGGAATCAAGAAAGAATATGTTTATCCTATCCATGGTTTTTGTGCAATGTTAGGA